AAGGCCCGGGGGGGGGGGGGGGGGGGGGGGGGGGGTGAGAGATTACTATAATCCTTTTTTTATGTTACTCATCCAAGTGTATGCTGATTCACAGCATCAGAAGAACTTATTTTGTTCATGTCTTCATCTGCCTCTGTCTTAAATCCCAGTCAGCTTCGGCAGATTGCGGCTCACACTGAGCCTGTTCTGCTGGAGGTTTCTTACTGTTGAAAGGGAATTTTCCTCTCCACTGTTGCTACATGCATGCTCAATACGAGGGACTTTAGAGAGTCAATGAGTCCTCGAAATCAGCTGGTTTTCCTTAGATACAAATATTTTAAAGAATATGATTGTTTTACCTGTATAAATGAAATTGATATTTTCTAACTCCAGCTTTTACTGTTTGAGTCTCTCCAGGTTGAATTTTCAATATTGTGCAACTTTTAGAAACCTTTTATTCTGTAAAATCTGGCCTACTTTATTATCTGAGATTCAACTGTGTATGTTCAATTATTAGTTGTTAAAAAAAAATGACATTAGAAAGCCGCACTAGCCAGAACACTGGATCAGTTAATTAGCAATGGTTACTGTTCTGTAAAACACATCATAATGGACTGTTTATGGTTGTGGAACAAAAACCCAAAAGCTGACCTTCCAGTTGTGAAATTGTCATTTGTTGTTTGCTGTGCAAAAGGCCCATCACGTCGATCTAGAACTCCAAGGTGATTAAACGCAACCATTTCCTCAGAGCCAGCTTGGATTAAAATAGTCCCGAAGCCCCCATGTGTTATTGCGTCCAGCATACCAATCACACGCACTTCTGAAAACAAAGTGACCAAATGCAACTCAACACAGTATCATAGATAACAAAATCAAACTGGATTTTTTTTTAGTTTGTATGGGCAGCTTTTAGGAAGAATTTCATATTTATATTTTAAATGTAATGGGGAAAAAAAAACAGACCTTTGCTTGGATGGTGAAATAGTAAAAGAATGAACGTTTTGTTGATTTCAAAGCAAAGTGGTTGAGACTGATTTTCCATTTTCAGCAGAAATTTGTGAGGAGCAAAACCTAAATAGAGATAGAAAGTTGGAGTAAAATAACAGATGTAAGAAAAACTGCTGGTACTTCCAGCAGCAGTTACTATAAGCTGTGTTATAAAACTTGCATACATACAATAAATACAATACAATACAATACAGCAAATACAATACAGCAAATACAACTAAAAAAAAAAAAAAAAACGGTAAAAATTTTTTATTGATATACTTCCTTATTTTACTTTACCCATATTATTGCATATTTTCCGTTCTTATTACATTTACAAACAGTATGTTAGGCTTCCTCTACAACAATCATTTCCAGGGCCTTTTTGGTAGCTTTTTTGACTATTTTTTTCTATGACTCAGGAACAATTTTCTTCCTGAAGATGAGAAGGTAATCCCCACCTTTCATAAAACTATTTCAGAACAAGTTGAATTTCAAGCAAATACTGCATATCAAATTCCATGTTAATACGTTCTTGTTTTTATATTTTTATTTCTCTTTAAAAATGCTCGTTCTTTGTCTTATTCTGTATGTTTTCTAACTGTTTATTCTGTGTATTAAAGGTGCTGTAGGAGATCTTGAAAAAACTGTTCCATCAAGCAATTTTTTTATGGAAGCAAATCGTTACCATATTTAAAATGAAAAAAACATTTTCAAAAATGCTTTTTGAAAATAAATCTCAAATGTCTCAAATTTTATATTTCAAATTAAATTTTGGTATGTATTTGCTGGGGTACATTTTGAATGATAAATCTCAAATGTCTTTTCTTTTTAATTTTAATTAAGTAAAAGAATGAGCGGTGTTAAAGAAGAAAATGAAAATGCAAACAGGATGATTGATTACTAATTTCATTTATGAGTCAAACAATGCAACCACATTCTTAAAATGAAAAAGCATTTCTGAAAATGCTTTTTCATTTTAAATATGGTAACGATTTGCTTCCATAATTTTTTGAACATACACAACCATGCCTCTCCCTTTAGACCACCCCTCGAAACCACGCCTTCAAAACTCATGAACGCGCATGCTGCGTGCAGCCTGTCTAGAGCAGCAGGAGCCATGCGTCTGAGCAGCTGAAGAGCACTATAATCACTCCTCTGAAACTGTTTATTAACACGTAAATTAACTTAAAATGCTGAAATCTGCCAATAAAACGTGTTCATTTTTATTGTCCTGGTGCCTGCAGTTCGGATTACGTACATGAAAAACGCGAATGGGCGAGCGGGCCAGAAGCTGCTGTTGAATGGGATTCCTAGTAACAGCGCACCGCCAGTGTACAGGGGCCTAAGAGGCTCCAACAGAAGTAATATTTGAAGGCAGGATGGTAATCTGGATGAACTGACTGCACTGACAATGTTTTCAGATGGACTTTCTCACTTCAAAATAGATTCAAACTACTTTTTTACCAACTGATCACAGCAAATATAGCTGCCATTGTTACAGGCAAAGAAAGGATAGCGTAGCTCCGCCCAACACGCATCAGACCCACTTTTTCCAACGTGCAGACAAAGCAGCAAAGATGCTTCAGCCATGCATCAGAACTATACTTGTACAACCATGAAAAAGCCAGCATTCTTCTCCCACTGTGGAAAAATCTCTGTTGTTTTTGAATTCACATCAGCTCTAAATAGTAAACAAAAAAATAAATACTTAGAATAAATAATTAGAAAAGTTGTAAACTGAACTCAAAAAATGCTGAAATCCTGTGTAGGAAATATGAATTATTTTCTTTAGCTACAACTAAATTACAGGATGAATACCTTAAATGGCTTTAAAATATACTTACGAGGAGGAGGCAAAGCCCAGTTCCCACCTCTGGTGCCTTTAATTTAAACACAAACATTCCAGGTTGATTCAAGGCATCTTATGACTTAAGGCTGATTTATATTTCAAAACCAGGTCCTCTGCGTAGGTGTCGTAGTGAAAAAAAAGCCGTCCCCGCCCTCCTCCGCTGCACCTCTCCCAAATTGTACTGTAATTGACGGCAGACAGGATCTTCATAGATATATATATATATATATATATATATATATATATATATATATATATATATATATCTACAGACACAAAATATTTTGGACTCAAAATATATTTCAATTAAAATTTCTCTACCCATTTTAGTTGAATCATTTTGTGTTGGCTAACACAAAGTGGAACGTCATGAAAAAATGAAGGCAAAATAATGCTTGATTTTCCACAGTCTCCTTAATTCCTGAATTTAATGTAGCTCTTCTATTTCCTCTCTTTCAGTACAGGATGAACTGATTAATCCAAGTGTGTCTGGCATGGTTACCGTCTTAGACTTGGTCTTAGACACCTTTTATTGTGAGTGTATACAAAACAAACTCTCATGAGATTTCCATTTCTCAAAATGCACTTGCACACCTAGATTAATCAGTTCCTGTAGTACAAAATGACAGGCAAAAAAAGAGCTGCCTTAAGTCCAGGAAGTACGGTGGTGGTGTTGTTCATACAACCCATTTGAATTAGGGATGAATGAATGAATGATAAACTATGGTTAGTTGCTTTAGCATTTGTAACATCTGTAATAAAAAAAAAAGTCGATGTTGACAATGTGTGTGACTTATTAGACTTACGGGAAGAGGAATAGGTAGGATGAACAGGTGGAGCGTGAGCCATATCTGGTTTTAGTACTGTTAAATAAAGCAATAGTTAAGTTAGTAAAAAAAAAAATGTCCATGTTTGCAAATTATATTCTATCAAAATATATCATAAAGATGACATGGTGTTATTTTCTACTCATTACATTTTCAAACAAGTATCTGTACTTTATATTTCTTTTAAAAAAGGAATATAAAGTTCAGATACATAACGTTTGTTTTAAAAATTCAATTTTTAAAAGAAACGTTAATTGTTACTCTTGGCTTCAGTTTAATGTTATAAAATATAATTTCACATCATGTGCGCCATCCAGTGCAGATCATTGGTGTAATCCACATCTAATGAAAACTACTGTAATTGTATAAGTCAATGCAAACACTCATTGTCTAATTTGTGCTGACGCCAATGGAATTAATCAGAAGCAAGCAGGTGTTCTTCAAACTGCAATTGTGAATTGTCTCTGCCATGCTACAATGTCGGATTCAGAAAAAGATGTTTAAATGTCTGAAAGGTCGGTCACAGGCGAGAGCGTATCGGGAGCCGGAGACCAACAAGACCTCCCTCATCCTTGGTCCTATCTCAAAGAATTTTTCGAAATAGTTGAAGAATTGAGCTTTTAATTCATATAGTTGCATCTGGCTGTTTTTCTTTAAAGGTTACTTTATACTTTTATACTTTAAGTAGTTTTTGGAGCACATACCTTTTCACTTTTAATTGAGTAAAGCGGTCAAGTTGATACTTCAGCTTTTACCAGAATGTTTTTAAACTGCAGTATCTATACTTCTACTTAAGTAACAAATGTGTGTATTTTGACACCACTGAAAATAAAATTTATTTTGTGTGGTTTTTCAAAGTAAGACTTAAGTTATATAGGGCCTACTGTATGTCATGACCAATAATGTGGCACATTATATTGTCATTTTATCAATTGATGAGTTATTATAAAAATATTTAATACATTTCAATTCTACAAGTTTTTTGTGGAGGCCTTTTTTTCACCCACAAATCAAAAGTAAGTTTGCCATAAGTACTAATTACACTAACAAAGTACTAATAACATAATATTTCTAGTAGTTTGTGCTACTATTAAACCACCAATGTGTAATAATTACAGCAATTTACTAACAGAAATGTGATATATTATACATAAGTAGTCTGTGTTAATTATCATCTATGGACTAAAAGTCTCAATCTTCATGTTAGCCTTGACTTAGAAAATTGCAATTTATAATTACATAGGAGTGGGTCTCGCATTTATGGATTCAAACATCTTTGAGCTATAGAAGTGCAGAGCCAAAAAATTTAGAGATTACCATTAAATTCTCATATACCGTTCCTTGTCCAAAAAAATGAGCCACTAGTGCTGTTAACTCAAACAAAAACAAAAAATTTTTTTGAGATAGTTATAAAAAAGTACCTTCTCTTAATGGTTTATCTAGTATACATGGTTTTAGAAACAAAAAAATCACTGTAAACCCTCTAAATGAAAAAAATATAAATTTTGGGATCTTGTAAAATCATGATATCTATTTATATTCAGCAACCCTGAATTCTAGGACACCTGTTTTGAATCTTGTTTCAAAAATCCTTTTAGATGAAATAATAAAAAGTACATATTATTATCTTAATGGCTTATTTAATATACATGGTTTTAGAAAAAAAAAAAAATACTGTAAACCTTGTAAATGAAACAAAATAAATTTCTTTGGAATCTTGTGTCTGGAGACAGAAATGCTTCTCTATACAGAGTGTTTGTTTGTTGTTGTCTTTTTCAATAATTTTTAAAATTGCTGTTGAATACTTAAATTATAAGATGTATACAAGGGTTGCAGTCAGCAGAGAAGTAGAGTTAATGACAAATTATTTACAATAAAGCTTTTCAAAAAACAGTTCTTAGTGATCTTTTTATAACCTACAAAAATTGTCCTGAAAAATAAATGATAGAAATGGCTGATCTTCCAAGTGTATCATAAACATTATTTGTAAAAATAATGTTATAGTGAGAAAGGAATGCCTCACAGCATTTTTTACCTTAACTTTATCTGATAAGAGCAAAAGGCATTTTGCGTGGTTATTCACTTTAAACTGCTCTGCCATACCTACCTCTACCAAGTCCAGAATGTCCATGTCCTTTAGAAAAAAAGGGCGACAAAATTATTAATCAATTAATTGTAGATTTTCAGATGAACAGTTTTAGCTTCAATGTTACATGTAAACTCTAGGAAATTATTTTGAAATTATTTCCACAACCTCTAATTGGTAATGTTTTAAGAGCTTACTAATATGTTTTAGTTCATACTACTGAAATTTTCATGTTCTTATCAGTTTATAATTAATATAATTACAATAGGTTAGATATGTCATAAACTGGCTGAGTATCTGTTTAACACATTTGTCCTTTTATCAGTCAATGATAACTTATCATATAACTATTCCATACATTTCTATATTACAATTTCACAATTTTTGGGGTAAGGTAATTCTTACCCACTGTTAAATGGAGAAAAAGAAAATAAAAAAAGTGAGGTATAGATAATCTCCATTAGATTTCACAAAGTAGGAGGAGTGGCGGCCTAGTGGTTGGTGTATTCTGCCAGGAATCCAGAGGTTTTGAGTTCAAGCCCTATTGCTCCCCAAGGGGATGGGTTAAATACAGAGAGCTCATTTTGTTGATTTGTACTTGTGACAGTGTAATGACAATAAAAGCTGGGGGTTAATTTACTGTTTAAAGGCTCACCTGACAATAAGCTTTTACTGTTGGTTAATACTTTGCAATAAAGTCAATTATTTTCAAATAACAGAGTTAAAAGAATAATTATTAAAATATGATCTTTCTTTTAATATAGAGAAACTTTATCTATTTATATATTTCTATCCTTTTCCTCACTAATCTTTATTTGTTTATAGTCTAGTACCTTGAAAATGTATTTGTGTAAATTAAACTTTACAGTTGAATTTGTTGTCATATTTTATCAAAAGTCTTCAAATAAAACCTGCTATTTATATGTGAATTGCCTCAAAGTTTTGTCAAAAAATTTAATAGAATCTAAATATTTGTAAAAGGGATACCGTCAAATTTTCTTTTTCAGTTGGCAATGGCTAAGAATCAGAATTTTTTATAGTTTACAGTCTTTGCTACTCCATTTTTCCAGCAGTCTTCAGAACTACTGTCTGAGTCAGAATATTAAATTTTATCAAAGAAAAAAGGTTTTTGATTGATAAAATGTATTACACTTCAGAATAAATATTATTTTGAGATGGCAATGTTGGTTACTTACATTTCTCAAGGTCCACAAATCAAAACATCCTCTCCTGCTTCTTTACAGAACTTCAATCATTAGCTTTCATCTGATTTTGCGTAGATAACATTTTGTATTTTAATTGGGACTTGTTTCGTAGCCTAATATCAATTAGTAATAGCTGAGGTATTGTAGCGTGGATAAAATATAAACTATGGGCACATTGGGACTAGAACACAGCCAATCAGGAAGAGAGAAGGCTGAGTTTAAGGCGGGACAACCAATGAGAGTGGCATTAGCATTTCTGCTCTGAGTCTTCAAGGAGGCGGTCACATTTTCTTGCTGCTCTGCAACTCCCTGCTTTGATCTGTCCCTGCTTTACTATGTCTTGTCTTTTCTGAGCCCTCTCTTCATATCACCCAAATTCAAACAATGGATCTGGTCAGCTGGTCTCTTAATGATATCGATCAAATTTCCTCAACTGGAAGACAGGGAAAAGGGGACCTGTGGGATACACCATGGAGTCATGGAAGAATTGGAGGATGGTGTGTGTTGCAATGTTGTCAGTCAAAGATGTATGGATTTACAGATTTATGATTCTCTGATTTCTCCTGTAACCTACAATTAGAGGATTTAAGCGGCACGATGGCTGTGAATGAGCAGGACCAGGAGCTGAGCCGTCTGCTGGGTGCGATTGAACGCAGGCTGGCTGTGGTGGTTGAACTCTAATGTGGGATAGGATAATATCTTGGATGGGCACGCTTGCTTAAAGGCAGAAAAGCCCAACAAATTTGGAATATTGGATCCACCATGTAGAGCCAGCAAGAAAAGATTCAAAGCTGATGGAAAATTCCTTTGCAGCCTGCTCTCAAAAGAATTACTTTGGATTCGGCCTCCTCCCTTATCGAAATCTCCCCTGGATGTTATGGTGGAAGGGCACAGAAAATGCATAAATTTATTCACAGCATCAAAGTCTTCTGCCAGGGCCTGATCTTCAAAGAACTAATTTCGTTTATGTCTTTATCTGCTTCTGTGTCCTTGAACCCCAGTCAGCCTCTGCAGATGGCCACTCACACTGAGCCTGTTCCTGCTGGAGGTTTCTTCCTCTTAAAAGAAAGTTTTCCTCTCCACTACATGCATGCTCAGTGCGAGGGGTTGCAGAGAGTCAACGAGTCATTGCAATCAGCCGGTTTTCCTTGGATAAAAATATTTTGAAGCAAATGAGTGTGTTACCTGTATAAACGACTTGAATATTTTCTAACTGCAGCTTTTCTCTGTATGAATCTCTTAAGGTTGAAATGCTTCTCTATGCAGGTAGTTTGTTTGCTGTTATTTTATTTCATATCTTATAGGTTCCTGTAATGCTATGTGGCAATAAGGATTGTTGTCTTAATGCCAGAAAAACCCCAACGAATTTTATTCTGGCAAGCAGAGCATTATCACTTTCGCCATAGTACAGGGTTTTTGTTTGTTATATTTATTAATTTTTAAAATTGCACTTGAACACGTTAATAAAAAAAAAAAAACTGGAACGTTTTAGTGAGAATGGAATACCCCACAGCATTTTTAATCTTAACTTTATCTGATAAGACTAAAAGGCATTTTCCGTGGTTATCCACTTTAAACTCTGCTGTGTCATACCTACCTCCAACTCTAAGACTCGGAAAACTTCGATATCCTTAAAAAAAAAAGGGGGGGGGGGATAAATATCAGTAATTGAGGGTACATTTTCAAATGAACAGTTTGTGGTTTTAATATTACACATGAACTGTGGAAAATAATTTTCAAATAATTTCCACTACTTCAATTTGTTAATGGTTTGTGAAACGACAAATATGTTTTAATTCATACTTTTAAATCACAGTATTACAAAGAATAAGTATTAAAATATGAACTTTGTTTTAAAGCTGAGCAGCTCTATCCCACTAGTTATATATTTCAGTAATTTCTGTCATCTGCTATATCTATTTGATTAAACTATAATAACTTGTGTGAATTCAACTTTACAGTTGCTTTTCTTGTCATATTTTAATAATTATCCTTATTTTAACAGAAAGTTTTGAGGTTTATTCACATAAAGTTGTGAGAGAAGCTAAAATAAGGCATGATTTTTTAAATATTTTTCAAACATAAATGTAAAATTTTTGGTATACATTTGTACCAATAACTCTGTGACAATTCTTGGAGATGTTTACAGTCTTGTTCCAAAGATCTTGCAAGAGCAATTAGTAAAAAAAGTACATATTTTCTCATAATTGCTTATTTAGTATGCAAGTTTTTATAAAAAAAATCAAATGTAAACCTTGTAAATCATAACAAATTATAAAATTGGAGAATCTTGTCTCTGGAGACAGAAATGCTTCTCCATGCAGGTTTTTAGTTTTTTTTATTTCAGCAATGTTTAAAATTGCTAACAACAGTTGATCATATAAATTATCAGACTGATACTAGGGTTCAATCTCAGAAGAGAAATAGAGTTAATGACTAATTATTTTTAATAAAGCTTTTCACAAAGTATTTCTTAGAGAAATTTTCTAACTTGAGTAATTTAAATGAAAAAATAAATGGAGCGAGTCGTTGCTCTTGCAAGTTTTCATAAAAACTTTATGCATAAAAACAATTTTAATGAAAACAGAATACCTTACTGAAATGTATAACCAT